GATATAGCCTGTGCACGCATGGATGAAATCATTATCATCAACATCATCGTACAGCGAAATACAGTGACGCGAACTTCGCCGGTCGCTGCCAAACTCGCAATGCATACAAAGTTATTGGTAACATGTGAGCCATTGGACCTGTTCTGAAGGATGAGAAAGAAGGTGAACCTCTGGTCAACACAGAGTACACGATCTAACTGCGCATATATCGTTTCAAGCATTCTAACTTGATAAGAAATAACAACAAGAACACCACAGCTGTCAGTTCGATTACATATCCTCCCATGTCTCCAACCAACCAGTCGCAATCCTCTAGACCCCAACCTGGAGGGGGCAAGACACCTACTCTATCTAATAACTGTGCATTTCATCATGGCTCATCTCCACGTCATCTGTTGACCTCCACGGGGCGGCTACAGCAAATAAAGCGCGGTGCAGCAGACGACAGCTGGGCATGCGCAATACGTGCCCTAGCCAGCGAAGTCTACTAATCCGAACTCGAGGAGCTAACAAGTTTATCCCCGCTGAAAAAGGATATAAAGATGGACACACCGATGCGGACCGTTAGGGAGCTTCGGAGAAGTGAATGCGAACACGTAGAAACACACACACATTGGCAGGGAAATGCGCAAACACAGAAATCAAACCAGCATGTTGAGTACAAGACCAATCAATGGACATGCATGCATTGATTGCGTGGATAGGAGATAATCCAAATGTTCCATTTATGTGACCACCGAATATCCATACGATGGAGTCTTGATGAGTCCTGGAAATCGGACGTGGGTGAATGAAACAGAATAGTCTGAACAATAGGTGAAACACTGATTAAGGTGTAGATTAAAGAGCAGGATGGGTTTCATTGGGCATGTCGGACATTGTGTGCAAGGAGATCAACATCGGAATCGGTAATGACAGAAAGATGGAAACGACACACCACTTGTGTTAAGCCTGTGATTAGTCCAGTTCAATATCACCCAACACAGTCATTAATGACACACAATGACAGTTCCATTCAGCGGGAAGGAAGTCGGGCCGATAATATGCAAAAACAGTTATAGTCAGTGATAAAGCAACTCAGCTACAGTCGTACGTGGAGTAAGTTCATCGCCAACGGTTTGAAAAAATCAACTTGGGGGAAATTCTGCAAAATTAGTAGCGGAGTTGGTGGTCGAGCAGCATAGGTAGTGAATCTTGTAGTTCCCATGTTCAATGCCATAGGAAGTTACATGGATGTCACATGCGTTTAGTTTATGATATATGCTAAGTGAGATATCCTATGCAATCGTAAATGAAAACAGTGATTCTCTACTTTATCCTCCTTACTGGTATGCCCTGCATAAGAAAATAATAGTGATAGTGGGATGGTCATTTGGTTATCACGCAAGAGGGATCTTATCCAATCCTGGTGCAGTTCAGTGGTCAACAGGCTTTTCGCTACTTGGCCATGTACAGCGCCTGATGGCAAGAAGGAATCCATTGGATGATACGTTCGAGAAGACCAATACCTGCGGTACAAATTCAGACAATATTACATGACTCGCTGCTGTCAGCGTTTGAACAGCGTGATGTAGATGGCACGCTGGAATAATAACAAAAAGGAACACTAGCCAACATGCGTAGTTGAATGGCGCGGGATATGACCAGTGACAAAGGGACCGGGTAAAACTCACCTGATAAACTCGACCGAATTCGCCTTCGCCCAAACTCGTGCCGAGTTCAACTTGGTCGGAATCGATAATCCGATAGACCGGAGTTTTGCCCAACCCCAAACAGCCATGGGAATCGCTACCAGGGCGATCGTTTCTTGTCGGTGCACGAGATGAACGTATAGAAGCTCGAAATGCGCGGTCCTCATTCCAGTTCGGTGTTTTCCACTCCGAAGCATCCTCGTCTACGTTGTTTGATTGCACCGAGTGATGATAGGGGCTCAATTCGGAGTCAGTTTGATGATCACGGGACTTCGATCCGGCCGAGACGCGACCCACAGTGGATCGAGAAAGACGCTGGGATCGGAAACAAGTAGAGGATACATGGAATCACCTTCCTTGAATGAGGCCTCTAGTTCAGATTTAAAGCAGCGAGTTATCCTGTGAAAAATTCAATTTAGGCTACCAAGCGAATCACAACATGCATGAGTAGCTTGAAGATAGCATCAAGAGTCAACTAAAATCACTAAAGAGTACTCTTAGTTTGTAAACTCAAACGAAACCATTCAATTTCTAATGTGCATCAGGAGGTATACAACTGTGGTATAATCGGATTGTTTAGACCACTCCACGACCGTAGTAGCTATTTTCATACATGAAAAGTATGCCCAGGAATCTACAATGTGCATCAACAGCGAGACAGAACTTTTACAAGACCGACGGATTACCATTGGAAAAAGCATAATTTATTTCTTATTTCCACATTTAATAAAATCTGATTTTGCCTAGGATCGTGCTTTTAACTCCCTCGAATGTTCTACGAAAGCATCTGCTAAAGAGGGTGCATTTCTTAATTACCCGTGGCGATGGTGCTTTTTTGAAAGTGAAACGACGACAAGTGGGTTCACAGAAATTAGTTGATGAGCTACGGGTAACTAGATCATTCAGAGGGAAAGACCTGATGGCAAAACTCTCAAGTAGAGACGTACCGATTGACTCCAGAACATCTTGACGGTGCGGATCTGTATTGCACTGCGTTGTTTTACAATAACTTGTGTAGATATTCATTTATTACCAAGTAGTGTGCGATGAACAGCAACAAGTGTAATGTTTTTAATGTCTATCGCATCAACAACTACTGCTGCATGTGGATCCTCGTGCATTCAAGATAACCGGAAACCTAAGATCCAAGAATCCCAAAGGACCCATCAGGATAAGTTTGATATCGAACCGCGCGTTGACAAAACTACCAACCCCCAAAGTTGGGCGGCAATGAGGGATTCTGACCCTTGGACTCTCAATGACAACGACCGATGTATCACAACCACCATCACTGTAACACGCTTATCCTAACGTTTCAATCACAAAATGTTTAGTGCTACGCTGAGAGAAAATATCTGAAGATGTCAAAGACACTTGTACTGAGATCTGTTTGGTATACTAAAGGCATAAAAAGGTGCCAAATACACGGATTCCTCAATCTTGGGAGGGGTGATTACGGAGACAGCTTTTGAGGAAATATTTTCTTCTGAGTTTTTCTTAAAATTTTTATCACACACATTTGTGTAGTGAATAGCAGACGGAGCGAACCCCATAGTCACGAAGATCTGCTGCTCCGTCAAGTAAACCAATAATCTAAACCCCGGAACTTAGAGTGGCGAACCACATAAGGCCCCTATAGGTTAGGCGTGGTATTGAACCGGACGACAGCGAAATTGCCTACCACCAAAGGTGGGTGGCGATGGCGGGACTTGATCTTCGGACCATAGGGTCCAAAGCACGTCAGTGACAGCGACCAAACGACTGCACCACTACTAATGCAAAAATAATTCGTTTAGGCCGATAGAATTTCGCTGGCACAATACAGTTCAGTTCAGTTCTTACAACCATTAACCAAGCACTTTCGGGCACCGGGTTTGGCTGCTGTCTTTTGGTTGCCCATTTGGACAAAACAGCAGAATGAAGGTTAGAATGTTCACAGTAAATTCAAGCTGAAGATAGAGAATTTACATGCACTCATGTTACAAGAATAATGAGTAGATGCATGAGCGCCACTGTTTGCNCGATGTCCAGTTATATCACTCAGTGTCTCTAACCATCGGAGACCGTGATCTCTGGGTCCCCAGCCATGGAGCCTAACGGGACCTATGTGACCCAGTCCCCTGGTCAGAGTTTTTATACCCTCATGCCATATCTTCGTTTGACCGCCCTTGATCTTTTTCCAACCGCCTTCTGTCTCGGCAAACATCGCTCACCATGTCAACCTATCTGATGACATGCGTAGCAGATGTCCCAACCAGCATAATCTATGAAGGTCGACTACTTGCTCCAGTGGAAGACCGCGATTACAGAAAACTCTACGCCTAACCTCAGCATTGCTCGTCCGGTTACCCCATGAGACGTGTGCAACGCGAAGTAGACAGCGATGTTCGAACACCAATAATCCATTTTCATCATGTTCCCGTAATGGTCACAATACACTGAAATAGGAAAGTACATTTAGGCGGTGGTGGCACAATGGTTTAGTAGATGTCGCCGGCGTGCTTTGGACCCTGCGGTCTGATTTTTG